ACATGGTTTCTAAATGCATTCGGCACAGAACTCAAGCTCAGCTCCTGTGTTGAGCTTGAGCTTGGTGACGGTGTTGATCAGTATGTTTTGATACTTTTGTAGTAAATGTTAATGTTAGTGACATTAGTGCTCAAACACTAAAATAATTAAAAATGGTCATGTTGGTTAGCTTACATGGACAAACTGACTACAACTTGACATTTGCAACATTGAACACTGATCAAAAAAAGGGAAAACTGGGTAAATACCTTTCTCAGGTTGTAAAACTTAGTGGGTCGCTACATTATCCTTTGTAAATGCTGCCACTGCTGTAATGTTTTCCCTACTATGACGACCCCCGCTGTGCCGAATACGAAAGTGTGAAAAGGGCCCCGTTCATTATATCCTGGAGGCAAGGTCTTGCAAATTTGACTATATAGTGGGCATGCAGTTTTTCTGTTAATAATGTGAATGTAGCATCATGCCACAAAATGCACACACTTCAGTAAAACAAGCTCATCACTTATTAACATTTCACCTACTAAGGGGACTGTTCAGTTCAGTCGTAATCCCCCAAAAAGAGCTCAGTATCACTGAGAGAAAAAACTGACCACTCCGTTTAATTAAATATATATATATAAATAATTGTCAGCGTAACAATTTGCATGAAAAGCAGAATCTTTTTTAATGTGTACATGTTTCAGAATTTCTGAATATTTGGTAAATCCTCCTTGTACTTAAACAACAGTGTGCACCAGAGCTGGCATAGACTCCATAACTTGGTGCCGAAGCCTCTGATTAGTACATCAAATACACCTGAACATGAGCTACAATAGAAGGAATAAGAAAACAAATCTGACCTTTTTGCACAAAGACTTAACATGGACAATTTCAGAAATTTGCCTAAATTTGAATAGGTGACCTAGTAATCGTTTTAATTGTGATAATATACTCCACTGTGTGCATATACACCGATCAGGCATAACATTATGTCCTTGTTTCTACGCTCATTGTCCATTTTATCAGCTCCACTTACTATATAGGTGCACTTTGTAGTTCTACAGTTACAGACTGTAGTCCATCTGTTTCTCTGCATACTTTGTTAGCCCCCATTTTACCCTGTTCTTCAGTGGTCAGGACCCCCATGGACCCTCACAGAGCAGGTATTATTTGGATGGTGGATCATTCTCAGCACTTCAGTAACACTGATGTGGTGGTGGTGGTGTGTTAGTGTGTGTTGCGCTGGTCTGAGTGGATCAGACACAGCAGTGCTGCTGGAGTTTTTAAACACCTCAGTGTCACTGCTGGACTGAGAATAGTCCACTAACCAAGAATATCCAGCCAACAGCGCCCTGTGGGCAGCGTCCTGTGAGCAGCGTCCTCTGAGCAGCGTCCTGTGACCACTGATGAAGGACTAGAGGATGATTAGCTCATACTGTACAGCAAGAGATGAACTATCGTCTCTGACTTTACATCTACAAGGTGGACTGACAAGGTAGGAGTGTCTAATAGAGCGGACAGTGAGTGGACACAGTGTTTAAAAACTCCAGCAGCACTGCTGTGTCTGATCCACTCGTAAAAGCACAACAAGAAACAAGGAGGTGGTCATAATGTTATGCCTGATCGGTATATATGTGTGTGTGTGTGTGTGTGTGTGTGTGTGTGTGTGTGTGTGTGTGTGTAGATCTCTCTGCTGTTGGAACAAAACCTCATATCTCCATTTTGTTGTTTGTACATTTTTTTACAGAACTTGAAAATACCAGCTGCCCTTTACAATTCAATTTTTTTTTTTCACCTAAAAATAGTAGTCTGAATACTGTCTTTTCAAAATGCAACATGGACTAAACACGGATACTTAACTGTATTCTGAATGCATTTTCCCCATGCTGGTATTCCGTTACATCCCAACCCTGTGTGTGCAAAGGTCTGTGTGTGCGTAACAGAGAGAGTGTATGAGTGTTGTGGTCAGCGTTAAGCAAGTTCCAAAGGAAGTGTGTGTCACATGTGTGAGTCTGTGATACCTTTTTTTTCCTAGTCAAAGACGTCTTCCAGCTTATTAATCATCATGTACATAGACATGTATGCAAACACACAGAATTGCAGAAACTTTTGGAGGAAAGGGAACTGACAGGGCCTTACACATACACATATATACTAGTGCTCCTTCAATGAAGATCCTTATTTCATTACATACTGAGCTTTAACTACACTGTTTAACTACACTGACAAACGTGTATTCGTTCTTATAAACCTTCAATGCAGTTACTGCTAAAAGTAAGCAAACTGAAGAAAAAAAGTTGTGTTGATGGAATATGTTTTATTGATGCTCAAGTGATGTACACATTTGATTTAAGTATATTTAATGCAGGAATTTTTTCAGTGTAGACACAGGTTCTGATTTAGTTTTTTAGAGGGAAACTGCATGAAAAGCCATGCAACTGATTTCCACTGGACTCAGTGTGGTCATAGTATGCTGTAGCGTGTCATTGGTGTCATATCAAAACCTAGTAACATTTTTTTC